AGTAGTTTAAAGTAGAATGCTACTAACTTGAAAAGTATGACAATGTATTAACAAAGTTAAAATACTAGTAGTTTTAATTTCGGTCGGATAAAATCGTTTGCTGTCAATGTCAAAGTAAAATATATTCATTTGTGTTGTGTTTTGTGATTGTGAAGTAAGCCGGTTCGTAAGCTAAAAGATATTTTTAATTTAAAATGGAATTAGGAGACCATAAAGCAAACAATATTTTTTTCTAGTGACGAGAAACGTATTCTTTCGGAGTTGGTTTTAAAATACCGGGACATGGTTGAAAATAAGCGCACTGCATGCTACCACGAACGGGATGGATTCCTCTTTCTGAAGAATTTAACACCATCACCACATATTGCCATCGAACACATACGGTATAGTGTTGTTGGGAAAATATTAAAAAACAGACCGAGAAAGATCGGGCCGCCAGAAAAAAAGAAGTTTATTTGACTGGTATGTACTTTTAAAACTCACGTGGTGATTTATTATTTGAGGAACAGAAATCGATTTGATATAATTTATTTTATTACGTAATATATTTCGTGCCTGTTCTTTGACTCTGCAATGTGTGCTTTTTATATTTCAGGTGGCGTATTTTTAGTAAAGACAAAAAATGTTTACTGATGTTTAATTAATATTCAGTATACAATGTATTCCAGGAAAATATTGAAATAACATTTTTGTCCATGGCCGAGGTCAGACAACCGAATAATAAAGATGATGTTGAAGTTGAGGAATGATTGAGCATATTAAATGAAAATAATGTGAGTTCAAATAGTATTTATCTAATGTGATAATGTAGTGCGTACTTTTCAGTTATTATAGTAATTATTGCTTTTTACAGGAAGGTGAAACCTCGAGTACATGGACTCCAAATAATTTAAAAACGTCTGTTTCAGAAGAATTAAGACCTTCCAAGCTTAACGAAGAGGACTGGCTGAAATGAAGAAGACCTAAACAAGATATTGGGTGATACTCTCACAAGAGAGAAAATAAAAATTGTTAAAAATATTGCAAGAAAATGCAGAAAAATAATCTCGTATTAGAATAAGTATTTTAGAAGAACAATAATTTTTATTTGTATTTCAAAGGTAATTTAAACCCGATAAAAGTAGTTGTATTAAATAATTAATAAATTATGGAAAATGTTTGAATGATCTCCAAAAAAATTGTAATTGATCACCAAAAAATACAACTGGTAACCTAAAGGTTAGGTAAGTTGCCCTATTTATTCATTACCTTTTTTTATTTTTTTTGAGATCATTGATCTATGAGCCCCAAAATTGTTTTACTTTCGGGAATCATTATGCTCTTGTTTTACTTTCGTTGAATAAAATATGTTAGGGTAGGTAATAATAAATTATTAGTTTTCTAGTTAGATATACTTTTCTAATGTAATAAAATCCTTGAATTCTTTTAGTAATTTTGTTTGTTTTATTCTTTGTTATATTTAAGGACTCACGTTCTGTATGACTATTGACTTTAATTTATAATCTTCATGGCATCTTTGTATGTATAAAGAAAATATATCAGTAGAATTTAAAAAACTTGTTTTTTTTTTAATATTTAATATAATTTGAAATTAATGCTTTTCTGGTACTGTCCACACTGTTAGTTACTATCCAAATTTCGCTGCTGTCTTATTCTTCCCCTTTCTAATTTTTCTTTATGGACTCTCAAGAAGATTTAGGTAGTAGTCTTGATAGTTATCAATCATAACATAAAACACTGACTGCATTTTACTTACAACTGACAACTTAGCACAACACAAAATTTTTAAAAGTCGATATAACCTAAAATTGTTGTAGCAACCGATACATAGCAAACGTCAATAATGTCTGACCGACAGTTAAACGATGGTTTCGAGCTCGGTTATGTTGATCAGCCGTTTAAGGGATATAACCGCTGGTTAACACGTGGTGAACACAAAAAAATGCTTAAACGGGTGTTTACGAGATAAACGCTTGTTTAAAATGTTGGTGAACTCGGCCCTTAGCAGTGAAAGGGATTATTTGCTCATCAATGGCAACGCAAGTATCTCTTTTGTTTTCACGGCAACCCTTTTCTATTACAGATACAATAGGACGTATTTTCCAAAACTTGTCGTTTTGTCTGGTATTGTGTGAAACTAATTCATCGTTTACAAGCTTTAAATTCGATCTTAGTTGAAAATATCGATTACGAGTAATTGTGTCAGCTATGTAGTAGACTTTAGTTTCTAAGGCCCAATACATTCTTATTCGTGGCAAACCAAGCACACTCATGGCCATCGAACATCCGAAGAACTATCTTAGTTCCTCAGGCGTCGTATTCAGAGATTTGCCCGTTCTTGATACGCTACAAACATTTGTACATTCAGCCATTATTTCAAACAAACAATTATCTATATAATGAGAAAAATAATCTAGAGAACTCTTGACAATGATGTTAGGGTCGAATGATATGTCCAATTCCTCGTATGGAGTACAATCAAAGTTTTCCGTGTGTTTCCATCGTAAACTCAGGTTCCTAGCAGATTGAGGAAGTGTGCGTAAAGATGAAAGAGGTTCGTCGTCCGAATCATTCCATTCCTCTTCATTTGCGAGTGAAATTTGCAGGTCGGATATTTCCTCTCGGCATTCTTCAAGGTCTATTTCTATATCACTGTCTTCCTCTTCTATATCTGACTCATCGAAATTGATCATCTGCTCTATTTCTCGATCAGACAGCAGACCTATAAAAATATTCCAAAAATAGTACTGATTGCCCAAGGTATCACGTATGATACTTGCAGTAAAACTCAAAATTTATACCAAATAATCACACTTTTCTACAAAATATTTTCACTAATGGTAAATTTACAATAGATTTTACAATATTCAATCAAAAAAACACAAAGATTTGAACAAAAACTAATATTTACCTTTACTTGATTTCGCCATGTCGGTTAATGCAAAATATTCAAACTTGCACTGACTGTAAATAATTTTAATTTTGACACCTAGCGAATGACCGGTGATGGAAACAATAAACAAAACCCTACACTCACTGTTAAACGTCGAGCTACTTCAGTATTTCGATAGATGGCGTTCAAAAAAATTTTTGAGTAAAGGTGTCACTGGTGATACCGGGGGTCTCAGGAGGCTATACAGAATGAAAAGGAGAGACTGAGGTTAAATTTAGTTTTAAGTTTAGATAAAGCCAGAATCGATACCATTGTCTTAATATTTTCCAGTATGAAAATAAGCTTACTACAAAACAGGGGGCCATTCGCCTAACTGGATTGCTTTGGAAAATGCTATCGCTTAGATTTCATTTTGTTATTTCTTTCCGGCGAAGGTTTTCAAATACCTCACGCTCATTTTCTTATTACCAATGCAAAAGAAAAAAAAGGCGCGAGCATTTGAAAACCTCAGATGGCTAGAAATAACAAAATGAAATCGTAAGCGATAGCGTTTTCCAAAGCAATCCGGTTAGGCGAATGGCCCCCAGGACAAGTTACTTATATCAACGGTCGAAAAATTCTTGACTTTTATTTAGAAAACTTTGTCGAGTTAAAACTCGCTTAGATTTCAAGGAACACAATAAAAAAAATAACAATTACCAAAAGAATGTATTATTAATAATAATCTAATAGTGACAGAAGTGTTTCATGTTTCATCATAGTCAATTCAACTTAAAGATAACAATCACCAAACGACTTTTAGGAGTTTTATGTTGGCATTAAAATTGCCACATTTCCAGAGCCAGACATCTTCACTGATGTCGCAAAATATCAGAATTTTAAAACATGCAAATCTATGAAACTTAACTACCTGCCCGTGAGGGTAGCTCGGCTGAGGGCATCAAGAATTCCCAAGGTGAATGTAAAAAGTGTCTCATGTATGGATCACAAACGGGCCACGATCGATAGAATTTTAAAACAGTTTTAATAATGTATACCCAATCTAGTTTCACATTCTGTTATCCATAATAGTCGGAATAGTTTTTAAGTTGGAAGCCCACCCACCCGCGCACACAAGCCAGACCGATACAATTGAATTCCCACAAGAATAAATGGTAAAATCTTTAATTTTGCGCATGCCAACATTCAAAAACTATATCTAACAAATTGTTACACCTCGTTAACCAAATTTTGTTCACCTATCGGATATTGTGAGCTTTCCTTGCTCATATGCGTGCTCTTAATATTCTTCAGATACTTAATCAATTATACTGGCCTGCACTATTTTCTAACATAGGTTGAATATCATTATGTTGTTACTATTTTGTAACAAACAAGAGGTGTCTTGTAGAGCTCGGGATATTTATAGGACTGTGCCCATTACATACCTATTTTGAACATTTACATCAGTAAAGTACTTCGCGATCAATCTATTTATCTACTTTATCGATTTACTTTCCTGCCTATTTATAGAATTTCAAAGCGGTTTTCTTTCAATTATGAGAAGTAAAAAGAGCTTAAAGATATACAAGGAAAAAGAAGTCGAGAAGAACTTAAAAAAGAAAAAAAATTCGTAAAATATAATCATACCAAAAAGCCGAATACTTCCTTGGCAGAATCACATTGATTTCTCAACTTAATAATAATACATAAAGCACTGCTAGATCTGAATCTAATATATCACGCAATAGCTGGAAGCCATGCCAAAATTCACATACGAAATATTGTATCATGCTAAGTGGCTTAGAGGGTAATAAAAATACCCAAGGTGAGGACAATACCTCTACGTGAATTTTAGCATAACGACATGGCTATATCAAAAAAGTCTATAATTTTCCTTGGAAATGAATTATGTATATGTTTTTATGTTAAGATAAAAAACATAAAGTTATTACCATATATATATAATTTAAAAAATACCTTAGTAATATGAATTCTATACAGCCAAATCATCTTATTTTGAAAATAATAATTTATATACTGCAAAAAATTAGAGTTTTCGAAGATTTTACACCATCTGTGGTCACATTCTATGCCACACCGTATTAAAACAATATTAAAAGCCCACCTGTAAACTCCATAGTGTTTCCCCGACGCCCTATCGCCACATATCGAGCACAAATGCTTGGAGCCGCTCAGTGGGTGATTAGGGGGGTAGTTCTTGAAGGAAGGCGGGGAGGTCGCGTCGTCTCGGAGCACGTCCAGCATCGCCGTGTCTGGCTTCATCTCCGGGGGGGACATCGGCGACATGAAACTCCCCTCCAGGTTCAACCCTGCGAACAAAGAAAATCGGCACATTATTATAAACAAAGACTTTGCATTTTTTCTTTCTCATTTTTTAGAAAAGTGTCCAAAACAAAAGAATTTATAAATCGAACCCAAATCCCCTTCCGATGGTTTGGAAGAAAAGGGGCTTGTACAAACAAAAACCCTAAATTGTATTCTAAAAAACTTTTTAATCCATAGATTCACTTGGGAAAGTCAGACTAGTTTTCCAATGGTGTGATGCATAATATTAAAAAAATAAATATTTTTTACTAGTGGCCCGCCCTCACTTTGCTTCGGTGTAGTGTTGTAGTGTAGACTATAGTTTTTGTTCAAAAGCTTGTATTATTCACAATGACTTTCTTATATAATAATTATTATAAACCTTCCATTCCAAGTAAAAATTCGTTACGTAGTTTAGGACCCGTTGTACCAAATGAAACATTGCTCTGATGTTCCGATTTGAAAAATATTTTTTGTATTGGACAGTGTATTTATCGAGGAAGGCTATAGGCTTTATATTACCAGGCTTCGACCAGTAGCAAATCATCGATGAAAAATGTTGCAAAAGCGGGTAAAAATATTCCGTTTCTGGGATTCCGTTGCGTGCGCTTGGTAAACGGTTAAAGTTGCACAAAATCATGTATGACTCACTATAAACCTTTTTCTTCAAAGTAACGCGGGTGAAACCGCAGGGGACCTCTAGTTGTGACATAACTGTAATAGTTAGAAATGGACATGGACTGGTATCACGGACTTTTTACCCGACTGCGCAATGCAAGAGCGCGAAGCGCGACGCGCAGACAGGGTATAGTGTTTAACAGTCTATATAATGTATGTTTGTTCCTTTGTGGCACACTAGAGACCAAACGCGTGGACCGATTTTGATGATTTGTACATCAATCGATTCGTTTTAATCATGGGAGTGCTACTAAAGATATGATAGTAATCAAAATTCAATATGGGGACAATTAGGCGCCATATTGTGACGAAGTAAAAATAATAAGTTGACAAAATATGTCGAATGGGGTATCATTGTCTAGATAATCGAAAATCATGATTAGGTTCCTTACGCCATTTTTCATTTTAAGTGACTGTTTAGGATCTACAACGATTTAAAGTTGAATATTAACCACTTACGCTTTTAATATCAATCTTACGTTTGTATAGATCTTTGTTACTCTTTCACCAAAAAAATACTGAATGAAACTTTACAAAAATATAGCTCATACATGATAATAACATACAGATAACAATTTATGTAGTCATTGAGTGAATTGGCCAAAATATAACAGTAAGTGTCACGTAAGACGGAAAAAAATCTTCCATCTGCGAGCCATTTTGGCCTGCACTTCAAAAACAATAAAAGTTACACGAATATAATGTACAGTGAAAATGTATCTCATAAATAGTTCTACAAGAAAGTCAGCGACACACAAAATATAATAATAAATAATGTAGCCACCTTATGATGAATGAATTTTCGAAATCGGTTCAGTAGTTTGACAGATTATTTTTGTTACAAACATACAACTCTTGCCTCTTTATAATATTAGTATAGAAAATTAGGATAATAATATTTAACCTTAAAAAAAAAATATTTAAAAATAAAGTAAGTAATAGGTTTATTTGATTATATTTGTAATAATGATTTAGCATTTTTGTTTACAGGGATTCGTTATTCAGCAATTTATACATACTTATTCTTATATATAACTTATATATTATAAACTTTGCTTTGGTGATTGCATAATTACTGATTTAATTTAGCGATCTAAGGCAGTTGCCACCGGTGTCCAAAACAACAGACGGGAATTGTTGCTTTCGTCAACCTGCGACATTAACGTCATTGATTGGTATTGTATATAGGGTGATTAACAACATTTGAAGTTAACCTCTGGCGTCAACATATTTGGTTTCCATGAATTATTTAGGTATATCAAATTATGAGACTAGGATATGACACTGTATTTGTGTATATCATAATCTTAGAGCTGGACGTTGCAAAAGATGATTTTTTGAATCGGTAATAGTATACTACAAAATTTACATTCATTAGATATTTAGGTAACGACTTGATTTAACTTAACACATTTTTGCGAAAATTGAGGCCCGTCTGTAGCCTTGACCCTACTGGTAAGTACTCTATGGCTTAATAAATCAATCGTATAGACCACCTCAAGGTAGTTAATAATTCCCGCGATATTCATTCACTTACTGAAGTGACAAGACTGCGGTGTATGTCGTCTTATAATCCTAACTAAAAACTGTGAAATAAAAATGATAAATATTCAAGTATAGATAAAAAAAATCAATAATGGGTCCCGACTGTTAAAGTAGCTTTGTTCCTTACTTAACAGAATTATAGACTACCTAATGGACTTGTTCTTTTGTTTTCAGTTTTTATTTCAAGTAATATTTTACCAGTCGGGTTTTTGATTTTTTAAATTTATCATTTTTTTGTAGCTATTGTTATCCTCTATAAAACTTTAGTACATCACTTTGCTCTATTGTCAATGACTTTCGCATACATACGGAACCCTAACTTTTTTGAAAATACACTATAGCCTATATTAATCAGCGATAATGTAGCATTCACATGGTGAAAGAATTTTTAAAATCGGTCCAGTCCTTTTTGAGCCAATTCGTTACAAACATAACAAACTAACATACAAATCTCTCCTCTTTATAATATTAGTATAGAAGTATAGATGATTACGGATCTTAGAGCACATACTATTATATGCTCTCTAAGTTACGGATGGATTTATAATCATCATAATAAACGAGATTTCAGCAATTACTAAGAAATGAGTAGGTAAATAAACTAAGAGTGAATGGAATTGATTTTAACAATTTCTTTTCTCTTCAATACGGAGGAAAGTGATTTTCAGCAAGCAATTGCTCAACGGAGCGTAACTGTGATTATAACTTGTTTATGTGCTAGTGATTTGTCGTAGCGTATAAGAAATATAGATGGGTTTTTGAGTCGCAGAAATCAAGAGGCAGACACATTATTTACATAAATTCAATTAAAGGAGTCTCTCCTCTGGTATGGTAAATAAGTTGGGTTACTACTTCGAAAGTTAACTGGCATTCACTAAGATAACTCGTCATAATATGGATATTCATAATGTTTATCAACTCTAATCTAATTAAGACTGAATACAGTTTGTTATTTTTCGTTCCCCTGTCATGGATTTGAAAGCATGATTTGAAGTGGATTAGGAATAGATAACTACTATGATTTCTGATAACGCAGCTTCTCCTATATGTTTTATGTAAAAAGGATGGCAAACAAGAATTTTGCCCTCATGATGGTTATGCCTTGATCACACGTACCGAGCAAACGAGCAAGACAGTGCTCTCGGCCGAGTACTCGGTGTTTTCTCATTATATACATAAATTACGGTTATTATAATTTTACACCCGAAACGCAAAACAAATGGTCACAAAAGGTTGATTTTTTGTTTGCTTACGATCTCAGACAAATTTATGCTTTACTTTCGTCTATATTGTCTGGTATAACTAAGGGAGGCTTTTAAAATCCATGGAAAGCAAGTTTCCGCCTAAACTTAAAAGCGGGCATTCAATAGCAGCATTATTTCAAATGCCACAGAAAAAAATCTATGCAGACGGTTCCGAAAAACCAACAAAACCGGTCCATTAGTTCGAGGGTGGAACGAGGCGCGCAGTTAAAAGAAAATAAACACGCTGTGACGTAAGCAACCTTCCCTCCCACTCGGATGCCTACATGTTTGAAAAGACGGAACATTATACATACATAGGTACATGTCAATTTAGAAATATGTATGTATAATATAAAGCGATTTCGATCGATCCGTAATGAATATATGTAGTTTAATTGGTCTTCGATTCCTCCTCCAATCTAATCAAAAACAAGGCGTTGTTTTAGGTGTACTGAAAAACTCAGCTTTGTGCCAATCTAACAGCTTAGCCACGGTAATATTAAATATTACCGTGGCTTAGCAAAACAAAATGGTCGTAGGTATTCTTTACAATCACAGGTAGCGCATTGCAACAGACCGACGCGTCTGAGTATGTGACTTCCAGTGATATTAAAAACTCTGTAATTGAGGCTCTTTGCGCCCTGACCGACTCCACCTGATATGTTGGCTGTAAGTAATTTCATCCTTTTTTGGAAAACAAAGATAATATTGCGCAACATTTCACAATCAACCAAATAGCTCGATGTGGTAGTACCTACCTTAACGAACAATAACTTGATAAGATTTTAAATTTAATCAAGTTTTCCTATTTATTGTCTGTAGAATTCTTCAATGTTATTGAACTAAAGACTAAATTTAACTTTAGACAGAATATAATATAAGTTTATTATTATCCTATATACTCAATATATATAAAGTTTAAAAATTTATTGTAACTATATATTTATATTCTAAATGATGTAATGGAAGGTGACTTCAGACGTATCTCTGTAACCATTTTTCAACTTGACGACTCTGTATGTAACAATACAGGGAGAAAAAAAAGTTTCTTTCCTCTCCGTTTGCCTCCCGTCGTAGTTTTGCGAACCGATGGCGTAGCTTCTTGACCTTCACAAGTGATTGTAACAGCCTAGACTGAATAAATGACTTTTCATTTCATTTCATATCCATTAGCCGAAAATTAATTTATCAGTTTTGAGTACGTTGGTAGAGGCTATATAAGGCATAAATATTAAACTCCAACAGTTCTCCTTTAAACTATTTTAAATAATCCGTGTGAGCAAATTTGGAAAAGTCTATCAATATAATAATACGTAGAATCTTTTAGTATTAGTTGCTTGATTTTTATATGTAACATACCTACATATAAAAATCAAGTCAAAAATCATTTAAATAGCAAAAATACACGCGTCATAATTTTTCAATGTGTTTTAATTAAAAAAAACTTTTTATAGTATGTGCTATTGTTTCAATACGGATTTTAATAGCACTTCTTGCAAGAGAACGAAACAACCGTGAAGACAGCGGCAATTATCGCT